TTTAGCACCAAATCCAACTTTCCGACTTTATTAAAAATATATTTTGGGTCATGGAACCAGATNAGTCTGACTGGATGATCTGGATCTATAAAGTCACCTGAGATTAGATGATGTGAATTGGAGCTATAGAAATACACTGAATAGAAGTGAATCGGCTCATTGGCTCTACAGCAATACCTCACAGCAACCATGCTTAGAGAATAAAGATAAAACGATTTAATTCCAGATAGACTCTCCATCCTGCTAGTTTCCAGGTTAAAATAGTCTAATCTGTCATAATCTGCAGTGTGTCCTCAGCATGTAGCGGATTGAGATTACATCAGAAACCCATGAAGCAATAACAACCTTCAGTGTCTATGTAGATGTTTCTGCTCTGCAGCCACAGTCTGACCTTCAGTCCTTCTGAAAGTTCATGTTGATGAAGAACCAGTGATTTAGAAAGCTGCTCACACCTTCATGCTCCTGTTTCTGCCTTTAGGCTAAAGCTTTGAGCCAATGGTGTGATGACACAACAATAGGACCCTAAGGAACATTACCTGGGTGGGCCCCATATGAAGTACAACACCCCATGCAATGTTCGCATGTTCCCCCTGCACTGGAAACTGCCCTCATTAGGCCTCTGCTAACCTAATCTAATGCTATGCAAATTAAATATACCCCAACCCACTCCTACACCCACCTACAGTAATCTAATCCAGCCCACTCCTGACCCAACCTAATCTAAATTAATCTAATGCAACCCATTCCCACCCTAAACTAACTTAACGTTGTCCCAGAAAACCTCTCTAATGTAATACAAGCTTGTTCTGTTTCCACACCAGTTAGCAACGGTTCATCCATGGCAGAGAGGCTGACTCCCCATGGCGCCCTCTGCTGGGCCTTCCTGTCTCCACACTATTTGCCTCATTCCCTGATAAGCAATAAACTTTGGCTATACCTTACAGGAACGCTGCTTATGAAGTCTTTCAAAAAACACTTCAAGTTTAAATATTGTTTTTATTTCTATTATTTAGCACTTTGAGATTTGCTTGTAAAGTGCTCTAAAAAACAAATTTGTTTGCAGTATTATTATTATAATCAAAAAGGCTCTGAGAGGAACTTTTATATTCGTACAGTTAGTCGACTGATCATGGCAGCCCTTCAGCAGACCGCCATACCAACAATCTAATAAATATTCTATCTTGCTTTGTTAATTAGGGATAAATAAAGAATCTGTCCCAATCTGGATATTCTTTAAAGTGATTGAAATTAAGAGCAGCGGATTAGGGGGTGCAGGGGGTAAGCATATGACCCAGGAGTCATTAGCGTTTCTGTTGACCTATTGACCTTTGCTGTTTGTCTGCCTCCTTTTCACTCAACCCTGTTGCCTCTCAGCTCGATGTAAAATAATAAATAAAAATTGGTAGATTATCATCAGCAGACTTTACTCTATTCATGTTCTATTCTACTTCTATGTTCT